TGCACTATAACATGGGCAGATTTAGAATGGAGTGTAACAAGGTATTTTTAGGAAAACTGGCTGTGACAGGGTTAAAGCTGGTGCACATGAAGCCAAGCAGCTGAGGTTCCCTGATGGCCAAGTAGCCCCAAGGGAAGGTACAAACATTCTGCATAAAGGCAGTTGCCTCCCTATCTGAACACACACTGCCTGCTGCCCGTGCAACCTCAACATTGAATCCTTGTCCTGTAGGGTGAAGACCTCTGGCCAGCTCTCTTCTAACAGGAACTGGGTACGTTGGCAGGTTTCACTGTCTGTAACATGCAATGTGAAGGGTTTTCATTGGCAGATGTTTTGTGAAGCAGCAGAGGAATCACCCCTGGACTGAGTGACAAACCTGGAGGCAAGGAGCTTCAAAACTGCTGCCCTTCTCCTGCACAAGCACCACAGGAGGCTGTTCTGGCTACACAGAAATGTGATTTTCAAAGCCGAGCACAGAGTGTTAAAACCCGGGTGCCCTGAATCAGGATTTCTCCAGTGTTCCCATTTCCAGAGGTGCCCTGTGCTCTGGGACCAATTGTTCCAGGGCTTGAGCAAGGGGAGACCCCACAGAACATGAGTGACTAGTTCCCAAATTGCTTCAGGTTTATTTGCTCCTGTAAATTTCATCAACAAATGCATTTGAGAAGGTTTTATTCTCTGGCTCAACTGTGAGGGCAGGAATTCAGAGCCGTGTTGCTGTGTGGTATCAAGTCCAATAGGGAATATTTCTGTCTCCTGACTGACTCAGGGCTCCAGCACTTCAGCCCTGTAGTTCTATGATTCTATGATAAGGGGATGGTTGGATGAAATAACATGATCTTGGTAACTAATTGACCATTCATTATCAGTTGGAAATAGGTCAATGGAGGGATGATAGGAGTTGCTATAGGAAACTTTCTGGGTGTCTGGCTGGTGAGTCTTGCCCACATGCTCAGGGTTTAGCTGATCGCCATATTTGGGGTCAGGAAGGAATTTTCCTCCAGGGTAGATTGGCAGAGGCCCTGGAGGTTTTTCGCCTTCCTCTGTAGCATGGGGTACAGATCACAGCTGAAGGACTCCCTGCATGTTGGGGCCTTCAAAGTATTTGAAGGCTTCAATATCTGAGACATAGGTGAGAGGATTATTCTAAGAGGGGTGGGCGAGATTCTGTGGCCTGCACTGTGCAGGGAGTCAGACTAGATGATCATAATGGTCCCTTCTGACCTTAAAGTCTATGAGTCTATGAGTCTATGAGAAGCCCCTTGGCTACCAAAATCCCTGCCCTTTTCTAGTCTCTGAATGTCCAACATCAGGCCTTGTGCCCAGCCCTCTCATCAGGTGAAATCCCACGACCCTCCCACTCTCAGACTGGGACCTGGGCTACAGCGCACTGCAGTTCCTTGCAAAGCAGGAAAAACTTTAAAAACGTCAAAACTTTAAAAACTTAAAAACTTAAAAAACCACAAATAGTCTAGTCGCAATTTAAAAACTAACAAAACATGAAGATATATGAACTAGGGGGTCACCAAATGACATTAATAGGCAGCAGGTTTAAAACAAACCGAAGGAAGTTTTTTTTCACTCAGTGCACAGTCAATCTGTGGAACTCCTTGCCAGAGGATGTGGTGAAGGCTAGGACTTTAACAGGGTTAAAAAAGAGCTAGATAGATTCATGGAGGTTAGGTTAATCAATGGCTATTAGCCAGGATGGGTAGGAATGGTGTCCCTAGCCTCTATCTTTCCAGAGGTGAGTGACAGGGGAGGGATCACGTGGGGATTACCCGTTGTGTTCCCTCCCTCTGGGGCATCTGGTATTGACCACTGTTGGAAGAAAGGATACTGGGCTAGAAGAACCATTGGTCTGACCCAGTATGGCCATTCTTATGTTCTTATGTTCATGTTTTGTTTGTCTTTAAAGTGCTATTAGACTGTTTGTTGTTTTTTAAGTTTTCCTGTTACAGGCTAACTTGGCTACCCCTCTGAAGCTTGCAAAGCAGGACTGATTGTGCTCAGCACCTGTGGTTCTCCCCTTTGAGAGCCTGTGAGTAGTGGTGAGGTGAGTGACCAGCCAACATTCTTTAGCCAAAATGCTGTGTAACCTGAACATCAGGAAGAAAGTGTAACATGGAGGAATAAGAGGGGTTCCAAACAACAGTTTGTCCATGTCTGTGCCCTCAGGCCCTCCAAACTGACAGGGACCCAGGCAGTCTGAGGGCCTTCAGACCTCCCCAGCCATGTCTGTGCTTGTTGGTCTGAAGAGCTTCTCTTTCAAAAGTAAGTCAGAAAATAATACGCAATCTGCAGACCACAAATTGCGTATCTTTTTCCAACGTAACAGTGCAGTCTAGATAAAGCCCAAGTAACAGATGCTGTATTATAAGTCCCACTCTAAGTGGAGCAATCTGTTTGCTAACGTACAGATGTAAAAATGTGATGCCATAAAAATATTACAAAACAAACTTTCATGGCATGCAGGTATATCGACAGGGCGCGGCAGAATTCTCAGAATCTTTGCAGAAAGAAGCAGAGGTAACTTTACTGCTTAGAGGCTTTGGCTGTAGAAAGTATGGCAAAAATTCTCCACATACTCTTTGCAATGGGTTTTGGTGACTAAATCTTTATTTCGGGAACAGTTGTATGATGCAATCTCCTGGTAACTGACTAGAAGCCGCCTCGAACACTTACATTCAGTGTTGAGAACACAATCTCTCAGCCGTATGTGTGCAAAGCTTTCTGAAAAGTCCTGAGAGAACAGAACCACTGCTCTGTGTTTCAGCCAAGAGTGGAGCTGAGGTTGAGGAAAGGAAGAGTGCCTGTATATCATTTATGCCCATCCCCCCTTACACAAGCAAGGCTGAAGTTGCTTTCACTTCTGTGTTTCCATAATTATATGATTGCATTCTCTGGGTTCAGTCTATGCTGACCATCAAAGGACTTCATCCTTTGTTAGAGGGATTCCTGGGGATCAGAGTGCATCATTGGGAGAATCCGGAGCCTGGTAATTATCAAACTTACATCAATTTTACTGAATTCAGAAACCAGATATTTGAATTTATCTATTCTACCGGAAAGAAGCAATGGCACAATTTGGAGTGGAGAAAATTAAAAATGGGTATAGTAAGACAGTGACATATGTTTATAAATGGCTTGTATGCAACACGGATCAACACAATGACCATTTTCACCATGCACTTGCCAGGTGATTACACACGTGACATGATACAAGGGTCCGTACTAAGTCTATGTCTACACTGTAGGGTTTTAATGGACAAAGATACGCAATTTGTCGAAAGAGGCTTTTTCGACATTTGAACCATCTACACAGGGCCAAATGTGGGAA